GGGTTAGAGTCTATTCTTCTTGTAAGGAAAAAATGTGTGTTGTGCAATCTAGGCGGCGACGGGATGGGGGGCGGCGGCGACGGCGGCGACAAGGCGGCAACGGTGACAACATAGCCGCCAGATCGCCACACCGGCCCATACGACGGTCGGCGACGAGGCGGCGACGGGACGGCGACGGCGACGACATAACCGCCACACCGCCACACCAGCCGATATCCTTAGACCAGAAGTAAGAACCCTAAGTGCAAGCAGTGTTTGAGGAGGAAACAGTGCATGGGGAAACGATGGGTGGGAGGGGTAGGATGTCAGATATGGCGCGAGCGCGCTTAGCTTGCCTCTCTTCAATCGTCTCCTCCTACCCTCCCGTCCTCCCCCGCTCCTTCTCCTCCTCCTCCTCCTCCTCCTCTTCCCCTGTCTCCTCCAACTCCTCCTCGTGCTCCCTCCATCCCCCTTCCTTATAGATACCTCTTCCCCGTCGCGACCCCCAGACGTGTCGGTGGGCGGCTCAGGCGTTCCGCCCGAAACCTCCTCGGACACGTCTCTCCAGAGGAAGAAGGACAGCTGACGGCGACGCGTATCATCCAGCACTCATAACCCACTTGAACGCCACCAGAAACGTGGAACAAAGCCAGACCATCCGTATTGTGCGTGTTTTTGTTGGTTCCTTCTCCCTACTCTGTCCTACTCTTTCCGCCGGTGCTGTCTTACTCCTGGGTTCAAAACAATGGATGCGTGTGCCTGCCGCTGTTGGCAATCACTGTGCGCACTCTCCGTCCTCGCCCTCGCTCCTTCCCTTCTTCACCAATTGTGATCCTAAGGTTTGAATTTAGATGCTCGTTTCAAAAAACAAACAGCTATATCGATGGAGGGCGCTCCCTCTTCACAAAAGTAACTTCCACTTCGGTGTCGCGCACGTCCGTCGCACAAGTTCCCAGCACTTACACAGATGAAGTGCGGTTCCTCTGCAGCATCGAACTTCTGTGATTCCCGAATCTTGCGCAACAGCTACATGGGTGGAGAGCGGGAATCCCTCGGAATCCCTCGGTCTCCCTAGGAATCCCTACCCTAAGAATCCCTAAGAGTCCCTAGATATCCGGAGGAATCCCCACGACTCCCTACGACCCCCTAGGAATCCCTACGACTTCCTAGGAATCCATAGGAATACATCGAAATCCCTACGAATCCTTAGGGATCCCTAGCGAATCCTGAAGACTCCTTGCAGCGAACGCCTTACCCGTCCAGGTAACTAGTGAAATTCTTGGGAACCCTGACAAATCCTTACGATTTGCAAAGATTCCTAAGGATTTCACTACCTAGGTTCCAAAAGAATGTTTCGGAATTCTTAGGAATATTTTGGAAGAGCCCCTTCTGAATCCTTAGGAAAGTATGGAAATCCCTCGGAATCCATACGACTCCCTACGACTCCCCGGGGACCCCTGCGACTCCATACGACTCATTCAGAATCTCCAGGAGTTCCTCGGACCGTCTACGAATTCTTAGGAGTCCCCTGCGAATCCTCAAGACTCCTTGCGCAAACCGAGCGCGTTGCCCGTCCGCGTGCTTAGTGAAATCCTTAGGACCCCTACGAATCCTTTCGATTTGCGAAACTTCCGAAGGATTTCACGACCTAGGAATCCATAGGGATCCCTAGGAATGCCTCGGAATCCCTAAATATCACTAGGAATCTCTAGGGAGCCCTAGGAATCCCGACAACCCCCAAGGAATCCCTAAGAGTCCCTCGGAATCCCTACAACACCCCGGGAATCCCTACGACTCCCGAGGAATCCGCAGGAATCCCTACGAATCCTTTGGAATCCCTTGCGATGCCTTAAGACTCCTTGCGCAAACTGAACGCCTTGCCCGTCCGGGTCCCTCGTGAAATCCTTAGGAAACAATGCAACCCCCCACGATTTGCAAGGATCCCTAAGGATTTCACTACCTAGGAATCCGTAAGAGAATCCCTAGGACCCCCTAGGCATCCATCGGAATATCTAGGAGGAACCCCTAGGCATCCATCGGAATATCGAGGAATCCCTACGAATCCCTACGACTCCCTAGGAATCCCTACGACTCCCTTGGAATCACTCGGGATCCCCAGGAAACCCTTGGAACCCGTACGAATCCTTAGCCATCCCTTGCGAATCCTGAGGATTCCTTGCGCGAAGCGAACGCCTTGCCCGTCCGGGTCACTAGTGAAATCCTTGGGAACCCGGACAAATCCATACGACTTGCAACGATTCCTAAGGATTTCACTACCTAGGAATCCCTCGGAGAATCCCTAGGAATCAGGCATCTCCAGGAACCCTTACTACGAATCCCTACGACTCCCCAGGAATCCCTGCGACTCCCTACGACTCCCGAGGAACCCCTAGGAACCCCTACCAATCCTCAGGAGTCCCTTGCGAATCCTGAAGACTCCTTGCGCAAACCGAACGCCTTGCCCGTCCGGGTCACTAATGATATCCTTGGGAACCCGTGCAAATCCTTACGATTTGCAAGGATTCTCACGGATTTCACTACCTAGGAACCCCTGGGAATCCCTAGGGCGCGTCGCGGCTTGTCGCGTCGCGTCTTGGCGCGTGCTTTTTTCAAGCTCAAGCAAGCCCCCAAACAGACGGCGAGGACACCAGAGGCCCCGAAGACGATTCAAGAGGGCCCCATGTTG